GGTTTGGGCATTGCTGTAAAGGTAAACGTATGCTCTTGGAACACGAACGAGATTATGGTTTGGGCATGGATGCAAAGGGAATCGTATGCTCTAGGAGCGGAGCACGAACGAGATTATGGTTTGGGCATGGATGCAACGGTAACCCTATGCTCTTGGAGCGGAGCACGAAGGAGATTATGGTTTGGGCATTGCTGTAAAGGTAACGGTATGCTCTTGGAGCACGAACGAGATTATGGTTTGGGCATGGATGCAAAGGGAACCGTATGCTCATGGAGCACGAACGAGATTATGGTTTGGGCATGGATGTAAAGGTAAACGTATGCTCTTGGAACACGAACAAGATTATGGTTTGGGCATGGATGCAATGGTAACCGTATGCTCTTGGAACATGAACAAGATTATGGTTTTATACCCCCCCCACCCACCCCCATCCCCGCTGCAAAAATCTGTTCAACCACACGGCCTCTTACAGGCGCCGTCTCCAATTACAAGGAAATGGTGGCGGGGCAGGCATCGACTTGGAGTTGCCCCAGAGCTGACAGCCATTCAAACAAGTGCTCCAGACCGGGAAGTGTGCGGAGGTCATCTGCTCAATTCGTAGCAGCATTTGTATTTGTAGGGCCGATCTTTCAACAAAAACAGCACAACGCATACTCTGGATGAGTACTAGGAAGCAGCAGGACGACATGAAGGCTAATGCGCCGTGTGCGTCAGGGTGACTAGGTGGAAAAGGACACTACAAGCCGTCAAGCATAGCAGACTCTGCCGCTTGTTGGTAAGTAAGGAGGAATGAGATTTGGGGTGTTTATTTTGGTTCCTAGGGATCCAGAACTGAAGCGCTACCGGGCGCTACCAAGAAGCAAGAAAAAAACACACACACACACACACACACCCGCACACACACACACACACACACAGGGATTGAGGCACCTGCCGTGCCAAGGTGCTGTATAGACTTATTACAAAGGGTCACGCTAAGATTGACGGGATACGCATGTAAGTGTAGGGGGTTTCCGAGATTTGGGCACTCTCTGCAGTACGACAGGAGTGGAAGCAGCAAGAAGGCTACATGCAATGCTGCATCCAGGCAAGGTGTAGGGTTGGCACACGATGGAGCGAGCAAGGCCCAAAAATCAAGGAAGCTGGGAAGCCAGTCAAGATAAAACAAGGCCAGAGAAGGCTACCTTCCTTTCCAACCACATGGACATCCCAAACCACGCCCTGCAAACTTCGTTCTCAGCTAAAGGTTTCCATGTTAGCTGCCGTGAAGGCTCTTGACAAGGTATTATTACTATGAACATTACTTCTATTCTTATTAATTTACTATTATGACCACCCTCTTACTATTATGACTATTGTTACTCTTGCTAATGCTACTTGTTAGTACTACTAATTCTAGTAGCAAGCAGAGGCGCATGCACCTCACGTACATGGTGGGATTTTTGCTTTGCTCCTTGAGGGCCCCAATCCTGCTTAAAGATCTCCACCAGGCGCCGTGTGGGCATTCGGGTTTCGGGATCAGGGCTTAGGGCCCCAAACACCACAGTCCTGATTCTTCTGACCCTCAAGAGGAGCCGCACATGTTTGGAAACCTCGATATGTGAGTTCTAACCATCCAAAGCAGCAACACCTACAATTTTGCTTTGACCCTAACCCCAAAACCCTAATCCCTAAACCCTAATCCCTAAACCCTAAACCCTAAGTCCCCAAAACCCTAAATCCCTGAACCCTGAAACCATGTATCCCCGCCTGGAAGGTCAGGAGGACTCAATTATTCAGGGGGCTATCAATGGAAATAACCGGGGACATTCCTTGGCCCATCGGCCCATCGGAAACTAGATTATGCTTGCTAAGGCTTGCCAAGTCCTGCAAGTAGCCTCACTCGAGGAACCCCTATTTCAGGGAGTCCCATATCTATGTTAGACGGACCCCCCGGCCCTGTAATGGTGGTATACTAGGAATATACGAGGACCATAGTATAATCACCATCATCCCTTGTAGTCACTATTGCTGGGTGGGGGGTCCACCTAATAATGTCTATGGAAGGAGACTTTGGTTCCTGCGGTGTGGCCTTCATGGTGATGTCCTTGGTCATGCGAGCTTGCGACTCAGGAAGTACTAAAGCATTCTTGTGGATACGACTACTATTATGACTACTGCTAGTTTTACTAATCCTATTACGATTACTATGACTATTGCAATTCATGCTAGGCAGAAAATACCTGGAGATACAAAGAAAACATCCACAATGCGCCAAGGGTCCACATACACAGCCAGAATAACATTGTTGATACCTCAGGCTTGGTGCAGGATGCACGAACCCTCCCCAGCCATAAGAACTGAATTGTGTGGAAATATCAGGGGGCACATACCCTAAACCCTAAGCCTTAATAACCTGCAGAAGCTCCCGTACGGACATTTCTGACGTGGTGGCATTGAAACATACCCCAACCCACGAAGCTCTTGTAATTAAAGCGCCCGCGTTTTGCAGAGGCAGCATCCACATGAAAACAACTAAGAGGCCACCCAACCCCAGAACCCCGATTAGGGACTATTGGGGCTTTGAAAAAAGACGCGGGTTCGGATTTTTTGGGGGGAGAGCTCCTTGCAGGGGTGCCTTATCGACCCCATGAAACCCAACCCAGAAAGGAAGGTAATGGGGAGGGGGGGTCCAAAAATCAAGGATTAGTTTTTGGCACATTCCCGTACAAAGGATTGCGTATGGTATCCCAAGGCTTAAAAAGGAGAATCCATACTTTTCAAAGATGAGTACCAGTGTCTAAAGTGCCTAACCATTCAGTGGATCAATGATCGTTTCAGGTGGGTAGTTCTCACCCACATGACAGGCCTATCACGACCTTGTGTCTATGATACTGGCCTTAATTAACCCTAACACACCTAAACCCTAAACCCTAAGCCCTCAACCCGCAGACCCCTCAACCCTCAAGCCTGCAGCCAAGCCCTCAACCCTGAAGCCTAAACCCTAAGCCCTAAACGAGCCACCCTAAGCCCTAAACTGGGTTGCTGTTAAGGAACTTAAATTAAGTTACCATAATGGGTATATATAGTAATTAATACGGTTCCCCCAATATAGTAACTTAAATTAAGTTCCTTAACAGCAACCCAGTAAACCACCAGCCTTATTTTGGAGCTGGCTGAAGCCAGCCTTGAGTCGAAGTTTAGGATATAGCTTAGGGTTTAGGGTTCAGGGCTTAGGGTTTAGAGTTTAGGGTTTAGGGTCGCCCAGAC